AATTCAGAGCACTTCAGGGTGAGTTGTATGTACATGGTTTTCTGTATACTGAATTACTAGTGTTCCATAATAAGATAGGCAACTGATATGCATCAACCTAGATGATTTCAACATTTACCCTGAGTAAAAGAAGCCAGATATAAAAGAGAACATACTGGATGCTTCCATTTATATGAAATTCTAGGAAAAGCTAATGTATATTATCAGGAAGCAGATCTGTGGTGGCCTGAAGGCTGGGAGAATGGGGGCTGAAGGTCACAATAGAAACTGTTTTCTGTTTTCATCATATATTGTATGAGTAGATGATGCTTGTGAAAAACTCACCCCTCTCTGCATTTAATGTATGAGTGCATCTTATTGTAAAATACACTCAATATAATTAATAAAAATGGATACTGCCATAAGTTTTGGCCCTTAAACACATATCCAGTCCATTAACTGAAAGTTTCTTTTCTCTTTTTTTTTTTCAAGTAACTCTTTGAGTAATCAGGCCAAAAAACTGAGCCCTTTGAGTGTGATTTTTTTAGTGGTATTTTGAAAGCTATAAGCTAATCAGATCCCATTCTCTAAGTTGGCTACAGGTTGCCTTATGAGGCCCATTCTGACTGTCACTCACTGTGAATCACTTGTTTACAACAGCTCTCCAGGTCACCCTCCGTGTGCCTGCTGCTCATTAAGACGGAGCTGGGCGGGTCCTGTCTTGGGGCCCTCCTCCTGGGGTCACAGACACCTTCAATACTAAGAGGGACTTCTGAAATATTAGCTGCAGATTTTTTCTTGCCTCTTTTGCATGGCTGTGTGTACTCGGTTTGGATTTGGCAATACTGTTTTGGCTCATTTACTATATGGATTTCTCTGCCCTCTGCTAGCCCTGGGAAAAGTCACTGATACTTATTGATTTAGTTAATCACAAAAACAAACCTCATTTGCCACCTCCAGTGTGTGTGTGCTCAATCGCTCTGTTGTGTCCAACTCTTTGGGACCCCATGGGACCCCAGAGGAGCCCGCCAGACTCCTCTGTCCATGGAATTTTCCAGGCAAGAATACTGTAGTAGGTTGCCACTTCCTACTCCAGGGGATCTTCCTGACCCAGGTATCAAACTGGTGTCTCTTTTGTCTCATGCATTAACAAGTGCATTCTTTACCACTAGCACCACCTGAGAAGCCCTTGCCACCTCCAGAAGTTACCAGAAACCTTTACTCTCATTTCCCCAATAATCACACAGGCCGAGCCGCCACTGTGCTGGCCACCCTACTCCCTCCTGGGCCCTTTCTTCAGACCAGCAGCCTCGTTCTCCTGTCACCTGCTGGCCATGCCTCCTTCCTCCTGACTCCACTTCCTAGGGTAACTCGAGGAGAGACCTCTTCTGCTTTACCTTCTTCTCCAGATGAGTGTTTTCAGCCTTCAAGGTCTGCTTCTACTTTTCTGTTTTCCAAGTGCCAGGAACAAAAAGAATATAAGTAGCATAAAAGAATGACGGGCAAATGTTCATCGCAGTACTGTTTACAATAGCTAGGACATGGAAGTAACCTAGATGAATGGATAAGAAAGCTGTGGTACATATACACAATGGGATATTACTCAGCCATTACAAAGAATACATTTGAATCAGTTCTAATGAGGTGGATGAAACTGGAGCCCATTATACAGAGTGAAGTAAGTCAGAAAGAAAAACACCAATACAGTATATTAATGCATATATATGGAATTTAGAAAGATGGTAATGATGACCCTATTTGCGAGACAGCAAGAGACACAGATGTAAAGAACAGTCTTTCGGACTCTGCGGGAGAAGGCGAGGGTGGGATGATTTGAGAGAATAGCACTGAAACATGTATATTATATGTGAAATAGATCGCCAGTCCAGGTTCGATGCATGAGACAGGGTACTCGGGGATCGTGCAATGGGATGACCCTGAGGGTTGGGATTGGGAGGGAGAGGGGAGAGGGGTTCAGGATGGGGAACACGTGTACACCCATGGCTGATTCATGTCATTGTGTGGCAGAAACCACTACAATATTACAAAATAGTTAGCCTCCAATTAAAATAAATAAATTAATTTTTTAATACAATAAAATTTTTAAAAAAAGAATGACAGGCAGCTAGGACTCATGCAGTGGCCACTATGTGTCTACCACAGGACGGCCTGTTTGTGAGGACAGATGGGTTCTTTCTTTTGAAATAGATGCTGTGATGTCCTGTTGAGTGAGTGTCTCATGCTAATAAAATGCTGTTTTTTATTACAGTGTAGATAAATACACAAACATGTCATTAAACTCCTTCAGTGTAACTGCATCAGAAGAGGGTGATGCACTACTTGAAAACCTTTGAGAGACAGGTCGGGATGAGGTGCTAAGTCAGACGACACACCTCCATCTCATCTCAGACGTCTGATGCTGTTGCTCTTTGATCCCGAGAAAGTTTTATGTCCATCGCCAACCGGTGTCGGGTGTGTACCCCACAGTGTTTTAACAGAGGAGAGCCCCAGGGACTCTTATATGGGGTCTGTTTAGTTTCTTTTGTTTAGTTTCTGTATTTGTGCTGAATATCACATACCGCCTGTCAGGTTCTGTTGAAACCACTGAGTTACAGAAATTAACTTAACATACATCTCCAAACAGTCCCCTGCTACGGCTTTTTGTTGGACCCACAGAGAACAGAGTCTCCATGGTAGGTTGTGTTGGCCACATACCCTCTGGAGTGAAGCTCAGATTTCAAGAAGCGTGATTGATTCCAGATTTTCTCACTATGTTTGGGTATAGTTTATGCAATAACTAAGCTTTGTAGCAGAAAGAAAAGTACGTCTTATCCAGAGGCTGTTGAATCTGTGAATCCATGTCTGTCATCAGATTAGGGAAAATGTTGGCTACTCTTTCTACCAAGTATTATTCTGACCCATGTTCTCCTCTCCTGGGTAATTCCAACTGCATGTATATGGAACCACTTCATATAAACTAAAGGTCCCTGGTGTTACATTTACGCATGTTTCAATCTTTACTTTTTCTTTCTGCATTGGAAATTGATATTCATCTATATTTTTAATAGTAAAAGAAGTTTATCAATTTTCATGATCAATAGGCAGACAAAAAATAAAAGATAAGCATAACTTCAAGCCATAATGAAAGCATGATTAACCTAACAATATAAAATAATATATAAAATAATTACATGCAATTTAGGGAGTCAAGCAGAATGTTGTGGTAAGTGGAAGTGCATTCATGCACATGTTTTCATCTGCCCAGCAAGTCTATGTCTTTTGGTTGGTGCATTTAATCCACTTACATTTAAGGTAATTATTGATATATATGATCCTATTCCCATTTTCTTAATTGTTTTGGGTTTATTTTGTGTAGGCCTTTTCCTTCTCTTGTGTTTTCTGCCTGGAGAAGTTCCCTTAGCATTTTTCATAAAGCTGGTTTCGTGGTGCTGAATTTACTTAATTTTTGCTTGTCTGAAAAGCCTTTGATTTCTCCATCAAATCTGAATGAGAGTCTTGCTGGGTAGAGTATTCTTGGTTGCAGGTTCTTCCCTTTCATCACTTTAAATATATTGTACCATTCCCTCCTGGCTTGAAGTGGCAGCTGCAGCCTCAGTTTAGGTCTTTTGTCTTTAGCTGACCTGCTCTGAGCCCTTTTCACACATGCATGTTTCCATAATCAGTCAAAAAGATGTGGGCTAAGAGAGTTTTGGAATCCCCTGTATCTTCCACTTGTAGGATTTTTATACTCTCTTCATGCATTCATGAATGATCAGCTATCAGTTTTCTGTTTTTTTCCAGACATAGAGGCTACTATAAATTTCCATCAGTTCTTTTTCCAGGTCATAACGATTTCATTGCACTTAGCTCAGGACTCAGTGCCCTTAAAGAGGAACTGACATTGTACTCCCTTTATCTAAATGTGCAGCCCCCTCCTCCACTGAAGCCTGTCTGATTCTATTCATCTGCCCCACCTCAGGTGACTGCTCAGAGTTAGTCCAGATTTTATCATTTTCTGGTGTGAAGGAGTCCTTCTTGCAGGGTCATCCACCATAATTCCCAATATCTTCATTTTAATTCAATGTAACTGAAGTCAAATTGGCCCAATGAAATATGCAATGTCCCCCAGCTCTTCATCAGCAGAATTGAAATTAGACTCCAGAGTTGTCCTTTATCATTTGTTTGCCTCTTTGATCCGAATATGAACTATATAAAGAAATCAGAAAACTTCTTTTCATGGTTTAATAATTTCCATCAATAAGTTCAAGAAGACTGTGCATGTCATTTAAGTGACCTTCTCACACGGATGGTTACAGAGGAGGAAGGGCAGCTATCACTCTTTAATTACAGTGTTGATAGAAGTACTCAATGCTTAATTATTCAGCCATTACAATTTTAAAATTATGCTCCTACATTTGTTGTAACTGAGTCATGAAAGTGAAAGTCGGGGCACTAGTTTTTGTCTCATGATGATTGTGGGGGGAACTCTGCTAACACACACACTTACAGAAATAAAATATAGCCTCCCTTGTGTTTAACATGGAGCCTAGCAGGTGTCTATGCTTATTTCAGGCACAGAGACATTTGCTAGGTGACATATTTGTCATATGGAACTCAATTATTTCTTCTCTGCAGAAGGTAGTGATTTAAGAACCTTCTCCATCAATAGGCTTTAGGTGGAAAAATCAGAGGAGACAGTATAAACACTAAGGACTTGTCCCTGGTCAACACTTTTAAAAACTATCTTCCTGAATAGAGATGACAAGGATCCTCACTTTAGTATAACCGAAGTGCGTGGCCTTCCAGGAGCCACAGGGGAGATGTGCAGACCTGGGGCATGTGGGTCAGGAACGTGAGTATAGTACACACACGCAACAGAGCGGGGGACTTGGCGGGGAGGCCAGTGCTTGCCATTGAAAGACACAGTGAGCTTTCTGTGGAGGCTTCTGCAAAGAGTAATATAGAAAATGAGAACAGTACTTTGTTACATTGCCAGATTCAAATCCCAGCAGAGTACACACCTTCGAGAGGAAAGCAAGAGTGGAGGCAGGAGTGATGGCCGGAGGTGGAGGGAGATTCCCAAAGGCGTCAGAGACGTGGGGCAGTCCAGGGACTCTGAGGTTCAAGAGCTTTGTAGAATACACCCCTCCTGGCGATAAAGTGGAGGATAAAAGCCTCCAGCTCTGAAGAGGAAAGGGAGAGGAGAAGGTGATGTGTGACCAGCTACAGAAACCATGGGTCTTCAGCTCTGACGCCGGGTGCAGGACTTGGAGAGTCCCTGGGGTCAGAGGGGACTGGTCCCCACGTCCTCATTCCCGAAAGCCATTTCATGGAAAAGAAATCCGGAAGTTCACCCAGGCCTCTGGAGTTCACAGATGGCAGCTGAGAATTACAAGCGTCAAGGAGAGAGTTTGCAAGAGGGCTGAGGACCAAAGTCGGAAGCCTCACGGAGGACCCTCCACAGCACACGGGGCCTGAGGTGGGGGAGCGGTGCCTCAGGACCATGGGGTGATAAGAGGAGCCTCAGCATCAGGGGCACAGGCAGGTCCTCGGAAGAACAGAAAGCAGGGTTCACTGTCTGCCCCCAGCGTGAGGGGCAGCAGAGAGGCAGCGCCACTGCAGGGTCACAGCCACCACCGTGGAGTTGATTCTACACCCTGCACGTGATGGCTGTTCCTTTGTAAAATATAATTTTTAATTTTGATGAATTCAAAATACTATATCTGTTTACATGCAGCTGCCAAAATGCAGCAATGTGATAAAACATACAATGTTGGTGCTCAGTAAACTCTGGGAAAGGCTAACATTTTGCAAGTTGTGCTCCTCAATGTGGCTGAAAGTCAGTGCTGACATTTTGCGTTTTATTGCAAAGTATACTTAAACCTTTTCTCAAGGTCGGAAAATGTCTGCCTCTTTCTCTCTCCACATGGATTTACAAGGGAGAACGTAATGTGGCTTCTGGGAAGAGTATGTCTGTATGGGATAGAGCAGGAAGGTATTAGTATTAGGTCAGCGTCTCAAGTACATCTTGCGGAAAAAGCATGAAAGATGGGTTCTGTGCCATGCTGCTTTTAATGGATGGGTCTGAAGTACTCATTCCTAAGTGCATATCCGATTATAACCATTCTTGATAGCTCAGATGGTTAAGAATCTGCCTGCAATGTGGGAGACCTGTGTTCAATCCCTGGGTCAGGAAGATCCCCTGGAGAAGGGAATGGCAACTCACTTCAGTATTCATGCCTGGAGAATTCCATGGACAGAGGAGCCTGGTGGGCTGCAGTCCATGGGGTTGCAAAGAGTCAGACACAACTGAGTGACTAACATTACATTAACATTATATATATATATATATATACACACACACATATATATGTGTATATTACCCACACAGAACTCATACATACATTCATGTTGATTATTTGCTTCTGCAAAGAAAAAGAAACAATAAAACTGAAAGAATTAATCAGCAAGGAAACTAGATTGTGAATAGTAATATTACTGTTTCTCATTGTGTTATAATAAACCAAGCTTCAAGTTTTACCGAGGTATGCAGATGGAAAGCAAATTCCTGAACCAGAAATAATTTAATATATCATACAAGAATTATTAAAAAGCATAAGCTAGACCACCTTATAAATTTTTTAAAGTAGACTATGTTTACATAAGTTATAAAGAAGATTTTTCCATTAAAAAGGCAAAATCAGTCATGTGTTCTCTATTATGGATGTAAGAACTTGTAAGAACTTTCATTGGAAAGAAAACGGCAAAAGGAAGAATTTTACATAGACTGACACCAGGTAAAAAGAAAGATAGATGATATGGAGATATTGAATAAAGCTCACCAAGAAAAAGAGAGAGAAACATGAAAATTGTATTGTCTTGAAAAATGAACATTAAAACAAGCAGAAAAAGATGGTGACAAATAGCAGCTGTGTGTGGAAAACAAGACTGAAGCAAGGTTGGATTTGAAATGTCAGGGAAGAAATAAGTGAAATGCTTAGGATAGAACAGTACAATAAACACCTAAAAAGGAAAATTATTTACTTCTGACATCACAGTGGAAAAAGACACAAAAAGAAAATGAAGTAGTGTCTGAGAGGTCTTCTTCCAAATAACACTCTGTCAAGTGCCCTGGGATTTCCCTGCCCTGTTTTAGCAGAGCCTTAATGCTCTAAAAGGGCAAAAGAAGAAAAGGTGAAATGTCCAGAGAAAGAAAACACAAAATAATTTCACTAAAGCAAAAAGGAGAGGTTGTGGTTGGGTGACATCAGCAAGATGGAGGAAAAGGGTTTCCAGCGCATGTCCCTTTTCAGAATCATCCATCCACACGTGGAAATACCTCCTGGGAGCCAAGGGGTCCATCCAAGTGAAGGATCACAATCCCCGAGGAGCACAGATGTGAGAGCAGGTTCCTGAAGAGGGCAGAAAGGCTGGCCCATCACCTATGCCACCTGCATCCCCAGGCGGCCCGGCTGATGCCTGCCTGTGGGCAGGAGGGTGAAGCGACCCCCAGGCCCAGGTCACCCCCAAGAACTCTGCTGCGGGGCTGGCCCCTGCACCCCCTGCCTCCAAGGACCCCCAGCACTCAGAGGCCCTGCAAAGGCCAGACCATGCCCTCCTCATGGGCCCCAGCCCCACAGTGACTCAGGCGCAAGGCCTCCCCAGCACCAGGCTGCTACCAGGGGCCAGACAAGGACTGGGGAGTGGTGAGAAGCTGGTCAAAAGGCGTGAAGCGGCGGTTATGTGGGCAGAGTAAGTCTGCAGTTCATAATGCTGCTGGGAGACCTGCCACAGAAATGGTCACTGGATTAACCATTCCACAGTTACTGTGCGCATCAGACCACCATGCTGGACACCTTCAGTATGCATGTCTGCTTAAAAATAATATAAAACAAAATAAAAATGCTTTTAAATTAAAAGGAATTTTTTAAAAAACCTAGAAATCATGACATTACTTAACACTGACATAGAAATGGTATAAAAAGGACTCTTCCCTACCAAAAAAAAAAAAAAAAATGGGCAAGAATGAGAAAATTCAAAATTAATTTCTTTAAAAGATGAAAAATTATCAAATTAGAATTAGGTGTGTTAGAGAAATTTACTAAAACCTGATGTGAATCATGCAATATTTGAACTTAAAACAGTTTTTTTGAATGCATCAACTTAAATACAAGGAGTTTTTGCTCTATTTCCAGTTAATGTTATCTTTATTTCATTGGTGAGGGAACAGTGCCTCCAAAAGACATGCTCTTGTGGCATCCTGTGCTGCCCCACAGCCACTCCATGATGAAGCTTACCTGGGGGTCCTGAGTGTTGGACCCCAAGTCAGTGCTTGTTGCAATAATGCACGTGCCTTTACAGTCTCAGTGCTGATTTTCCCCTTCAACCTTTTATTTCTTCTCTTAGCATAAGTGTCATTAGATAAAACTCTTATTGCAAACTTTAAAATGACTTTGTTCTATGTGGTTGATGGAGCCATTAACGTATCTTTCTTGTAACTCTTAAAAAAATACATTTTAAAAAGGAAATACAGTCACAAATGCTGGAAGATAGATTGGTAGGGGTATCTCTATTGAATAAAAGAGCTGCATGGATTTCTAGAAATTCAAGGTGAATTTCTTCCCAGTGATGGGTGTTGTAGTCAGCTTCAGGCTACTCGAACAAAGTACTGTAGACTGAGTGCCTTATAAACAACAGGCATTTATTTCTCACAGTGCTGAAGGCTGGAAGTCCAAGGGCAAAGTGCCAGCAGATCGGGTGCCTGGAGTGGGTCCCCTTCCTGGTTCAAGGTGGCATCTTCTCACAGGGTCCTCACATTACAGAAGGGGTGAGGGAACTCTCTGGGGTCTCTTATAAGAACTAATACTATTCTTAAAGGCTCCTTAAGCATGACCTCCTCACCTCCCAAAGACTGTCACATTTGAGTTAATTCAGGACTTAACATGAATTTGAACAGGAGACCTGGGTTCTATCCCTGGATTGGGAAGATCCCTTGGAGGAGGGACTGGCAACCCACTCCAATATTCTTGCCTGGAAAATCCCATGGACAGAGGAGCTGGCAGCCTATAGTCTGTCGGGTCGCAAAGAGTCGGACACAACTGAGTGACTAACACAGTTCACAGTTCACAAAGTTGAGGGACCACATTCTGTGGGTAGCAGCCTACAAAGACACGAGTCAGAAAACTCATCGTGGATGTGCCGCAGGGCCAGCCTCTGCGCAGAAGAGGGCCACTGGATGGTGAGCAAGTCCAGGAAGTACAAGGGGCGGAATGATGATGACTACTAAGCATTCAGGTGACCACCTGGAGGACAGCGTGTGTCACAGATGCAGGGACAAGTCATGACTTTATGACGGCCCTTGCCAAATAAAAAATGAATAAATAGAGCCAGAAAATCAAAGATAGAGAGATTCCAAACCATTTCTAGAGAGAACAATCATGTACTTAAGATCATGATCAGATCATAAACAGCTGTCTCAACAGCAGGTTGGGACAGGGAAAGAGAATGAAGCAGTGGCTCAGATTTCTGGAAATGATACTCAGTCACATTCATCGCTTGCTGCACCACTGGGTGAAATGAGTTAATTACTGTGCTGGGACCCCCCAGAGCACCCTCGCACATCCTGATTTGCTAGAAGGTTTTATGTGTCTGAGATGATGTTTTTCACAGCAAAGGTCACAGAATCAATCAACCAAGGAGACAGTGCTTGGGGCCAAGCTCACAACAAACCTGACTCCAGCATCTAGGTGCTTCCTCCCAGTGGAGTCACATAGGACACAGCTTTCCCAGTGATGGGAAACAACACTGTGAAATGTTAGCAACCAGGGATCTCATGTGAGCATGGCATCCAGGGTTTTTACTGGGGAGTCAGTCATGTAGATGTGCAGCCTCTATGCGGCTGACACCACTTACTGAAGCTCCAGGGCCCAGGAGGACGGCAGGTATTCACCATCTATCACATCGACATAAACTGAACAGACTAATACAGGGTGGCTCAAGGCCTTGGGTTTACAGAAACACTCTATCAAAAAGAATATTCCCAGGAGTTCCATTCTCCGGGGCTGTCCAAGGTCTGAAGGTAAGGAACTGTTCAATGTCTGGGGCTGAAACTGGCTCCTCTAGGGATGAACAGGGTTGGCACAGCCCAGACCTGTTGTGTTCACTCTTTTTTTTTTTTTTTTTTAGTTGGAGGCTAATTACTTTACAATATTGTAGTGGTTTTTGCCATACATTGACATGAATCAGTCATGGATTTACATGTGTTCCCCATCCCAATCCCCCCTCCCACCTCCCTCCCCATCCCATCCCTCTGGGCCTTCCCAGTGCACCAGCCCTGAGCACTTGTCTCATGCATCCAACCTGGGCTGGCGATCTGTTTCACACTTGATAATATAAATGTTTCAATGCGTTCACTCCTTCTCACAGAGTGGGTGCAGTATGTTAATGTGGAGATAGCATCCATGGAAGATTGTTCTAGCTGCAGACAACAATACAGCAAGTGCCAGGCAAGACCCTAGAAGACCAGGAAAGCAGTGAGACCTAATTGTAGAGTGCAGATGACTGGAATCAGGAAATACGTATCCACAGCAAGGAGCATGGGGGTTTAAGAGATGGATCTCAGAGAAAGAAGTCTTTGTCATGCATTTCTAACAACTCAAGGGGGCAACAGAGTCTGACACACAAGGACGAAAAAAATGCCTGCAGCCTCCCTACATCTTGATGGGGAAATGGACATAAATACCAGCCAGGTTAAAGTGAGTATAAATAAGGAATCTAAGACTGTAAAAGTTGTGATCAAAGGAAAGTAACGGAACATTGCATCCATCTAAACATAGAAGTAAGACAAAACAACTGCAAGATTTATGGCCCTTGTTACAAAGGCCATGGCTGTCCACACTAGCAAAGATGATTGGCAGCAGTGAACTGAGAATGTTGAATTCCTTAATTTTATAGCAGGTGGCCACACACAATCTGAAAAATGGAAATTTGTAGTCATGAATAAAAATCAGGAATCCCTGCCCTCTGCGTATTTGTAATAAGCTAGGTGGTTTTTAAATACCTTGTAGTAACATGTATCTTAAAATAAAGACAATCTTATCTCAATTTCAGTATTTCCTCTATCTCTTTTGATTATTCTTGTAATTAATTCAGTCAAATTGAACTTGACCCTCGAAACACGCTGCAGAGTATTATCCCATATTTATCAAACTGTGTGTATTTACCTCTCTTTCTTTCTGTGCTTCTGTGTGCTTCTGCCAACATGCCTAGAGAGATTTTGAGGTTTTATTTCTAAATGGTGAGATCATTGGTAAAGTTTTGCTCTTATCTTTGTATTTCTCTGTACTGCTGACATATTTTTATAATGCCTGTGTGGATCATTCTCATAGAAATGCAGTGAAGAGATTCATCCATTTCCAGATTAGAAGGAATACTCAAGGCATAGTGCGGGGCGGGGGTGGGGGGGGTGGTGGGAATCAGTTCAAAACTCTTCCCCTCTGATGCAGCTGGAGCTCCAGTCCCCTTCTCTGGTCGTGAGGGCTCCTATGGGCAGTACCCCCATTAAATAAGTCACTGCTTCGGGAAACGTGACTGTTTGTCAGCAGGGCTTCCTGTGAATCACAGAATGCAACTTTAGCATAATCTTTTGCGTATAAGGTTCCATTGTGTCTTTTTATGATAAATGCATCAAAAGTAATTTCATTTGTTGCAGCTCAAACTCAATTTCCTAGGTGAGCTGCAGTGCCCTGTGAGATGTAGGGGTACCTGCCTCCATTCTATCCCAATGATGAAGAACAGCAACAGCAACATAACAGTTTAAGTGCAAGTTTGTTTTTTAATCATATTATGATTGAGCATATAATGAAAAATAACTTACTCCAAGTGGAGTAGCTTTATCAGTTCATGTGCTTGCCTCCAGTCTAAAAACAGTATTCCCTGATCAGCAACCTGTGTAATGAAAATTGGAGACATCTGTGTTTATAATCAGATTACCTCACCAAAGCTCTGAGTTGAGAAGGTTTTATTGGAATACTGTGTATACATGTTGGCTTGTTATATTTGCATGACTCCATTTAGTCCCTTTTCTGAAAACAAGAAATACAATCTGTATTTTCACTGTTTATAAACTAGCTTAATTAGTTAATTTTTTCCAAGTCTTCTACAGTATCTTTAAGGTGATACCATTTTTCTCTCTGTTTAATCACTTTGTGTATAAAGCCTTGGTACAAAATAACCAAACGTGACTTGGCTGAGACTAAATGTATATTAACTGAGAACCAAGCCCTCCGTTTTGCTAATCCCTACTAATGCGTTTCTGATACCAGCTGGATCTGTCTGTTGATGTGGCTGCTGTTTGCTAATTAAAAGAAAACCAGGGCTTTAGGAGAAGAGCCACTCAGGGAAGTGCGCCTGCTCTCAGCCAGGGTCTGGCGGTATTGGCTCCCCGCGCCCTCCCTCGGCACAGGTACGGAGCGCTTAGGCCAGACACTTACTTAGGCCAGACACTTACCCTGGCTTTTGGAAAAGAACGAAAGGGCTTGCCAGCACACTGTGCCACAGTGATGGTTCTGAGGAACTCTTTTATGAGGAAATAATCTACTCCATTCTTAGGATATTCAAGTTGGCCTCAGACTTACAGTTCATCCACTGGGAGCTGGGTTATTGCCTCATAAAATAGTGGGAAGATTCTATTATCACTTAATTAGAAAGCAGGGCATTTACTGCTCCTTTTTGCTCAGTTTTATTAGATGATTTCTAGGTTTAACTCTCTCAGAAAAAAAGTCAGTTCAGTCATAATCAGCTTGCATATAATATGACTAAAAATATGTTTGATTATTTTATGTTACCATGAAATCAGATTTTAAATATGTAGTACAAGAGATGACTAATCAAATTAATTCAGACATGTAACACTGGCAATCTCAAGCTTCCAGAGTATAGAAAGAGCAGCACGCACTTGTCACTAACACTGGTTACATACCACACTTAAGAGACTGAAGTCGCTCAGTCGTGTCCGACTCTTTGCGACCCTGTGGACTGCAGCCCCCCCAGGCTCCTCCATCCATGGAACTCCCCAGGCAAGGACACTGGAGTGGGTTGCCATTTCCTTCTCCCATAGCACACTTAGGTTCTCTCAAAATGTGAGAATTGATGCCTTCTTTGTATGCAAACAGGAACTTGGGGCCAGACAGCAAGCCCCCAGGTGTCCTGGAAGGGCCTTTTGTAGCTCAGCTCAGGGCAGGGGCAGGTCCCCGAGCCTCATCACCCCAGGAGCTCACACCCCAGGAAGGCGGCCTTCTGCATCCTGGGTGGTGGGCTTTGAAGTACAGCCGGCGGAACCCCCAGGCCCTCTTCTGCCATCACGGATTTTTCACATCTTGTGGCTTCCGTTCGATGAAAGAACAGATCATCCTCTCAGCATTCTACTGGGGTTGACTGCCTTCATGGTAGGGATGTATGCTACGTTCACAGGAGGCCCACTTGCCAGAACTTCTCATATGTTGAAATGTCTCAGCCACCCAAAGAAGGTAAATACAGTTACAATAAATACCTGTAAAACTTCTCCCAGTATCTTGGCAAATATTATCATTTTACCATATATATATTTTTTTCCATTTATTTTTATTAGTTGGAGGCTAATTACTTTACTATTTTTAGATTTAAAAAAAATAATAAATGTAACAGATATGTCTGGTTTTTCTCCCACAACCTCTTTTTTTGTTTTCTTCCTACCACTGAACTCCAGTTATTATTCCCATGAATATTTTCAAATAATTTCCTATACACACAGCTATAGTATATGTATGACTGACTTTAGAATATGCAATAAGTAATATGTTCATGTAGCTTTCCTCCTCTGGAATAAATGTTTGTGCCTTCCCTCCCTCCAAAATTCATATGCTGAAGCCCAGTACCCCGATAAGGTGGAAACTTTGGACAGTACTTACGTTGAGATGAGGTCTGAGGGTGCGGCTTCTGTGGTGGGATCAGCACCCTTGTGAGGAGAGGAAGACAGAGGGCCCTCTCTCCACCGGGGAGGACCGAAGACGGCCACCTGAGGCCAGAAAGAGGCCCTCCGCCAGAAACAGACTGTGCGGGCCCCTCAGTCCTGCCAGCCCCCAGAACCAGGGGGCGGAAGCCCCAGCCTGGGGAGCTCTGTGACATCAGCCCAGCTGACTGCAGCCCTCAGCACCCCAGGTTCCTCAACACACAAGGCACTGAGTCTCACACAGTGTATCTGTTCTTTCATCGAAGACTCTTTTGGTTGAACTGACAAAAAAGGTGCTATTATTGACTCGTTACCTTGGTGATAAAAGTATTTGTCCAGTTTTTCACTATTACAGGCTCCGAGTACATCTAAATCTTTACAGCATGCGTGCATACATTTCTCCAGGGTGCATAGTCCGAGAAGACTGATGTGTCCAGAATGTCTTCAAGTAGAGTTGATATTTACCAATATCCCTCCTGGTTTCTGTCAGCAGGATCTAACTTAATCTAAATGGGTAGATGAGTTACTTTGGGAAGAAATACTCAGCCTCAGCAAACCTGTTAATTTTTTTGCAGTTTGCTGGATGCTGCATTGTGTCTCACTACAGTTTGAAGGTGCTGTTCCTTGCTTACTAGCAGGTTGAAGAAATTATCCCTTTGTATACATAACTTCCTCTTTCTGAATCTCTTCTTCAATTCCTTTGCCTTTCTTGCGTCACATTGTTAGACTTGTTTGTTCAGTTTCAGATTTGTGTGATTTCTTGTCTAGTCTGGGTCCTAATGTCTAGTCTGGGCCAGTAATGTCAGTGGAAATTATCTTCTTCCACAATGTAGCTTGTATTTTTGCTTTGTTCTATTCCTCAGAAGTTTAAAATTTTAATGGAAATAAGTATATTCCTTTTCTTCTTAGATTTTCCATGTAGTGAGGACATCCTTCTTCCTAAGAGGGACTTCACCCCCACATCTCATGTTCAGACCTATGTTGGTATAACTAGCGTTTTGCTTCTCCCCATACCCTTTAAGAATAACTTCAGATTTAGTTAATCTTTCTCTGGTTCTTGTATGAATGGATTCAATCAAAATCAATTTCAGAAGCCTTGGCACCTTTATGAAACTGGTTCTTCCTAGGCATGTGTGATGCATCTTTATTAGTTCCACATTGATGTCTTTCAATAATTTCTTATAATTTTCTTAAAAAATAAAACTATGCATCTCACTTTTTATATTATTCATAGACATCAGATTTTTCTTCTGTTGTAATTGGTGTCTTTTTACTGGATCTTTCTGGGTCAACTGTTGTTGAAATCCCATTTATTTTTTATATTAATTCTGTATCAAGCACATTTACTACACAACTTATTTTTCTATTTTTTTCCTGTAGATTTTATTAAGTGTGCTGTGTAGACCATCATTTATTTGTGAAAAAATAGCATTTCCCAGTGCATTCCTCAGAGTGGCCACCAGCTGTCTGGGACCCGGTCCAGATCGAGTTCCACACTGTGTCCTTAAAGACTTCATAGGAAGCTGGCCCTGCCGTCGAAATGGTCCCCTCGGGGGCTGCTCTCAGTTGAGCTCAGGTGCAGCAGAAGCGCCCCCCTTTCGAGTGCCTATATGTACCTGGTGCATACTTTTTCTCCAGTTAATATGTACTAAGTAGCTTAATGAATAGATAGCAGACCTCTGTATACAACAAAGATCTACATTGTGATAAACTGTTTTTGAAAGCAAGTACAAGCAATTTACAACAATTTAAAATGCTTCCACATTCAAGTTTTAGATCTCTGTGCTTTTAAGGAGCACAAGCAAACATCCTCTTTTATGGTGATATACTTTTGAAATACCACCAGTTATTTATTCAAGTTCCTATTGTTTCAATCCCTACTAGAATGAATTCCTAACAAGAGATGAATAATATTGTAGGGAAATGAGGAAATTTGGGGTCCCACAGCATCTTGGGGCAGGAAGAAGCTAAGACAAAGACCCAGAGGACTGGGTTTCCAAGGAGAGAACATAACGGGTGGAGACCTTGGTTAGTGGCTGAAGAGAGATGCTCCCACTGGTCTGTGGGCCTCGTGATGCTCCTGAACCTCCAAAGCATGTCTGAGGGCGTTTCAAGTCCAGGAACCTGAAATCCATCTTTTTCCTTCCAGGTACATCGCTGATGCTTATCCTCATGATCCCACAAGGTTAAGGTGTCAGATCAGTCAAGCTTTAGCCAAACTGTAGTTTTGTCTTGGAAATTTGTTCTTCAGGTTTTTTGCCTTTATGATATTGGCTTTTAGGCAATAGTCAGAAAAGTTGTCAACCTCATGTTTTATTTGCTTACTTGTTTGTCTAAATCACAATACATAGAGAGAAAATCCAACCCACACTTTGCATCTGCCCTACATTCATAAAGTGAATATCCATGTGTGAGCTATTGTCATCTGATCAAGTGCATTTTGTATTTTTTTACCTTGTGATCAACTATATTTTTCTTAGAATAAAATGGCAGTGAAAGGAAAGAATCCATGAATATTTAGAAACTGAAAGGAACAAGGAACTAGCAGTGCAGTATTTCTTTTGCTTATTAAAATGGATTCAACATAGAACATTATTTTCCCCAAATGCTAAAGAGATATATTTCCACAGAGTTTTAAAGTTCCTGAATCAGCTATAATATAAATTTTTCAACTAAAGCATTAAAAAGAATAAATTTTCCTCTGGCTAGAAACACATTGTTCAAACCTCCTTACACACAAATAGCCATGACTTACTTTTCCATATACCATTCTTTTCAGACATCTATACATATAAAATAGTTCAAAATTATCTATCAGTATAAAATTTAGCCAGTGGTTGTGTTCAAGAAATTTTATTTTCAAATTACACCATGGTTTACTAAGCCTTTTATACATTTGTCTTGATATTTCTGGATTACTGCATTTATGAAACTTCCATTTTTTGTTATGTAATCTTTGCTATAAACAGATGAGGCAGAAATGATTTAACAGTTCAAGCAGAGTGTTTGCTAAGCAGCTAGATGTTAGGCAGTGAGGAATGGTCCCTCTTATTCAGTTATCCCTGGTCCGTGTACAGCATATTCTAAGGCTGTTAGTTCAATGGTGTTTCTGCATTTGGTGCATCAAATGGAAGAAAGTGCTTATGAAATGTACAAGCATTTTTCTGCCAAGTTATGCTAATTTTCTAACTCAGCTCACTGTATTCTTTTATTCCTACATGTACTTGGTACGTTGGTAGCTCTTCTAATAAATAGAAGAGATCATTTATATTAGCTTATTAGCTTTATCTAAAAAGATACTTATAGAATGCTTGCTTTTATTTGAAGTTGTATTACTTCCAAATCAAAACATTTCCCTGCATAAGTCTCAGTGCACTTACATTATAATAACAATAACTTCTGACCAGAGCAAAAAAGGGGATTATAAACATGGAGAAACTGGATCTTACTGGGTCAACGAGGTCCATTGCATTTAAACAGAACCAGTATCAGTATCTCTCTCTCTCTCACTCTCTCCAATCATGTTGTAATCCCTGGCTTCTCTGAGCACTATTTAGTTTTGAGGTAATTTAGTGTCCTCTTAAAACAGCAATTCTTCTATTGCAAATACAACTTAAACTCAGTTGAACAAATTCACCTCTTTGTTGTTGTTCAGTCACTAAGTTTTGTCCAGCTCTTTGCAACCCCATGGACTGCAGCAAGCCAGGCTTCCCTGTCCCAGAATTTGCTCAGATTCATGTCCATTGAGTCGATGATGCCATCTAACCATCTCGTCCTCTCCCTCCCTCTTCTCCTTTTGCCATCAGTCTTTTCCACCATCTGGGTCTTTCCCAATGAGTCAGTTCTTCCATCAGGTATCCAAAGTATTGGAACTTCAGCTTTAGCATCAGTCCTTCCAATGAATAGTCAGGACTGATTTCATTTAGGAATGACTCATTTGATCTCCTTGCAGTCCAAGGGACTCTCAAGAGTCTTCTCCAGCACAATTCAAAAGCATCAATTCTTCTGCATTCAGCCTTCTTTATGATCCAACTCTCACATCCGTACATGACTACTGGAAAAACCATAGCTTTGACTTTATGGACCTTTGTCGGACATGACTGAAGTGACTTAGCAGCAGCAGCAGTGGTCAGTAAAGTGATGTCTTTGCTTTTTAATATACTGTCTAGTTTTGTCATAACTTTCTTTCCAAAGACCAAATTTCTTTTAATTTCATGGCTGCCATCACCATCCACAGTGATTTTGGAGCCCCAAGTAAAGAAAATCTATCACTGCTTCCACTTTTTCCCCATCTATTTGTCATGAAGTGATAGGATGGATACCATAATCTTAGTTTTTTGATGTTGAGCTTTAAACCCGCTTTTCACTCTCCTCTTTTCACCTTCATCAAGAGGCTGTTTAGATCCTATTCACCTTCTGCCATGAGAGTGGTATCATCTGCATATCTGTGATTGTTGATATTTCTCCTGGCAATCTTTCCAGCTTATGATTCATCCAGCCCAGCATTTCGCATGATGTACTCTGCATAGAAGTTAAACTCACTCCTAGTATGCACTGAATAACTTTCGAGACATTGGGAAAGTGATGATGCTGGAGAGGCCACTGGATTTATAAATATTCCTAGTATTGCAATCTCCTTATCCACGGTTTGTTACCTGCGGTCAACCCCTGCTAGAAAATGGCAAATGGAAAGTTCCAGAAGTAAGCAATTGATGTTTCGAATTGTGCACCATTTGAGCATCGTGATGAGATCTTGCTTCACTGTCTCATGTCCAGTACATCCTGCCCGTCAGGCACTTAGCCGCCATCCAAGGGTCAGACAGTCAGACGGCCCTGGTGTCAGTGCTTCTGCACACATGGCCCTTCTTTTACCTCACACTCGCCCCAAAATGCCAGAGGAGTGGTGCCAGGAATTTGAATGTTTTCTTACTGTGTGTAATTTATAAGTTAAACTTGATCACAGGTGATGTTTGGATGGAAGAAATACAGTGTACTTAGGACCTTTGCTTTCAGGCATCCACCAGGGGTCTTGGATCGAAGACCCTGAGGATAAGAGGGGACAACTCTACACAGTCAGTGTTGATGCAGATAATGGATACTGTCATTCTAGGGTCTGGGCCGTGCTAGCCGCAGAGAGAGGAAGAG